TTTTTATTTTTTACATGAGAGATTATTTCTTCTCTGATTTTCTCTATAGCCTTATTCAACTGTGTATTTCCTTTGCTGCTATTATTTCAGAAAATCTTGGGTGTGGGGCTGATCTTCACCTCCAGATGTGAGCACTGGGACCACTCATTAGCTAGTAGCTTTCTGGATGGCCTACCCATGTCTCCTTATCTTATTGTCTCCGTGGTGCTCTCTCAATTGCTGTGGCACCCTCAGACAGAGACAGCCTGAGGCTGCTCCCAGTTCCATGTACAGTTAGCCCCTTGCACAGTCACCTCTGTTCCACACCACTGGATTCTCTCTTCTGCTGCCTTCCTTGTCCTGCCACTGCAGAAATATTAAAAGAAAGACAGCACTGTATTTGAAATCACTTTTAACCTGTGAAAGTTTAACTTTACCTCTTATATATGAAAATAGTAGGTAATGAAATTTTTTAAAACAGAATAAAGAAAAATCTGCCAGTGTTCCTTGGAATTCTCTATTTTTATATGATTCTTCATTTGAGTTTTGAACTATTTTATGGTACACAGATAATAATACAGGTAAACATTGTAATAACCATGTACATTTAAATATATTCATTATACTTGTAACCTTTGAGGATTAAATCAGGGAAATATCTCCAATTCAGTCATTAATCCCTGTTTTAGAAGGTAGCATAGATATTAATTGAAAAAAGTATTCAGTGGAAAGCAGGTTCTTACTTGCTAATGATGACTTAGCTTGTCCTCACATACAATAAGTCTTCCCTTTTTACTGTCACTAAGCCTCATGTCCATGTTTAGAAAATTTCTCACAACCCTTCCCTACTATATCCCCCTGGAGAAGCTGCAGATTAAAAATCTTTGGCGCCTCCTGGTTGACTAATCCTTTAAGGAAGGACACTCTTTCTTAGAAAGCCCAGCACAACTGATTTTTCCAGGGGTTTACTTGTGTATTAATTTAAAGGCAAGAACAGTCTTTAGGATGGACAGTAGCATAATTAGGACCATAATTCTCCATAGTATTTTTTATGAAAATAAGTGACTTCTATGTAGTTATACAGCATTCTGACCTATGAACTTAAAGAAAAATGAGCCCTCCAGTATATTTCAATCCAATTTAGCCAGTGTATTCAAAAATGTTCTAGAACTGAGGAAATACAAAGTGAATTGCACACTGTATCTTCCTACACAGAATTTATGATGAAATACTAAAGCATTCCACATCTAGGACAGTTATCAAAATAAACAATCAGATTTTGTAACTTCAACATATTTTCAATTTAAGACAGTACTGACCTAGAGTGATTGAAAGGCTAACAATACAAAGTATTGCTTTGATGCTGTATCATTTGGTCTTGTGTGTCCATGTATAGTCCTCATTAGAACTAAATTAAAGCATCTTAGTTATTATATAGCTGCATCTTGCTTAAATATTAGTATTTTAAAATGAAGTGTATAACATTTTTATATTTCCAAAACAATGTTCAGCATGAACTTAACAGTATATTTTGAATTAAAATATTATAAAATTGAAAAACAAAAATTCTTAAGCTTACTACGCAACTAATGTTGCAAATATCAAAATATTATGCCATTTTATTCATTAATTATTGTGAATGTCACTTCATTCTCATCTTAAAATTTATTTCAGCCTTTTTATATGTTTTTTATGTAATTGTGGTAGCACTATGGTTTTTTTCACCCATGATGTTTAATATGGTGCATGGAGCATAACCTTTCAAGTCAGACCTGATTTCAGAGTATGGGAACTATTTGTTTGGGTGGGTTTCAAGAACTTTAAACTTTCTGATATTGTGTCTTCTAATCTATTAACTGAGAACAATGATCCACGGGACTACTTTACTCATTAGTTTAAACTAATTAGTTAAACTAACTGCTTTACTCAATAAGTTTAAACTTATTAGGTAAGTATCTTCCCAGTCCAGTCATCTCTCTAAGCATCTCTTAATTAAACCAAATTAACAATCAATATTAACCATCACAACCTAAAATTTTATAGATTGTTCTATGTGCTAAATATGTACAATAATGTAGAAATCATCTGTTACTAGAAATTCCCAAATCTCAGTTATACATCCACTTTGATTTGGTGTTATTTTATCTTTACTAGTATTATTTTATATTACTGGACTTTGTTTTTTACTACTATTATTTCATACTGTGGAACATTTAATGTTTCCGCCTCTTTTTGAGAACACTTTAGCAATATGCATATTCCTAGGAAATGTACCACTTCATGTAGACATTAATATTCATTGATATAACCTCAATTATAGGGTCCTTGCATTTTAACAATAGCTGTGGTATAGATATATTTCATTTCTTTGCACAATATAGATTATTGTGCTTTTACATTTTTCCTTCATTAGAATATTCAGAGGTAATTCAAAGAAGCACTCTTAAATTTACTGTATTCTAGATTTATTTTCTATTTTTATCAACTTCAGAAGAGTCTTAGTTTGTAATTACTTATGTATCTCTAAACTAGGAGGCTTACTGTGTAATTGTCACTATTTTTTTAATAAAATAAACTTTCCTTGATGACAGAGACTGATAACAATCTACTAATGTCCATTCTCCCTTATTCCATACTGAAGACAATGTACACTGCTACCTAGATAGACTTTAAATTGTTAACCTCCCTTGTGTGCACTTCTGTTCCAGGATTATTAAGGCATAGATATGGTTGCTCTATGTTCTATATTTCACCTGCTGGACAACTGGAACAGATGTGGCCAAGCTATGATCCTGCATTTGATGACAAGTCCTTGATGAATACAGAGCCCCAAAATGGAAATAATCTCAGACACTAAAAGATAATGTAGTTCAAGAACATCTGTTAATCTAGAGTAATCACACAGTATTTTCACAAGATATACAAGTAGACCCTGTTCTTTCAGTATTAATATTTATCATATGAATATAACAGTAATTTGGTTTTTCTCACTAATACACTTCTTGCAAAACACTTTTTCTTATGTCTTATTTCCTCTTGCCACTTTTGTTGTGATTCTAGTCAATTAAAATACATTGAACATCTACCTCATCTCTGTAGTATCCAGTGCATGCTCAAATTAAGGTAAAAAATTAGACTAGGTGCCTTTCAACAAATGAGTGAGAAAATGTGGTATATTTACACAATTGAGCATTCGGCATGTGTAAGGAAGAATGACAGTCCTGTCATTTGCAGCAAAATGGATGGAATTGGAGGATATTACATTACATGAAATAAGTCAGGAACAGAAAGACAAGTACCGTGTGTTCTTTCTCATACATGGAAGATAAGTCAGTGTGAAAGTGGAATAGTGATTACTATATATTGGAAATAGTATGTCTTGGGAAAGGTGGCAAGAGATGATTAACTTTATTAGTGCTGGCTATATGCATGTATGTAACTATCACTCAGAACCCCACTTAAATGTACTAATAATACATATTGATAAAGAATTTGAAATTTTACCTTTTAGGAATTATTTTTGTTTTATCTCACAAGATCTGATAGGTGATGTCTCCATTGTTATGAGTTAAAATATTTTAGGTTTCATTATGATATTGTCTTAAGGTTATAAATTATATAATAATATTATTTTAAATATTTGACTATAGAAAGAGTTTTTGTACATTTGTATTTTCTCTCTAGTTCTACTTTATTATGTTCAGAGATCACATTTGAAAGAATTATTTGGTTTTATGCCTTTTTGGGCAAAATGCATGATTAATTTTTCTAAGTGTCTCATGAGTAATTGAAAAAAAATTCTGTCTTCTAACTGTTGAGTGATAGATTTGACTTATTCCTACAAATGATATAATGTGAAAATTCAGACATAACTCATTTTGTTATCCATTCATGAATAAATAAACACTTCCACATCAGTTCTTTGCTTGTTAGGACCATGTTGCTATAAACATTCATATTTAATTTTTTGCATGAACATTTTTTTTTTTGGTATCAGGAATCGAACTCGGGTCCTTGCACTTGAGAGACAGGCAGCCGAACCACTGAGCTAAATCCCCAGCTGCATGAACATATTTTCAGTTCTCTTCAGTAGATAACTGAGAGTGTAACTTCTCCCAAGTGTTTTTTTAATTATTTGAAAAAGCGTCAAATTATTTTCCAAAGTGAATGAGCAATTTTACATTGCTACCAGAGATGAATTGGGATTCTGATTTCCCCACGCTCTCACTAAACTTATCTCTCACTTTTCTCCTCCTCCTATGCCTTTGCCTCCTTCCCTTCCTCTCTTGCTTTCTTTAAAATTATAGACATCCTAGTTGCTGTAATGTTAAAACTCATTTGGGCTTTGGTTTGCATTTCTCTAGTGAATGATGATTTTTGAATCTTTTTCGTGTTGTTTTTAGTCATTTGTATACATTCTCTAAAGCAATGATGATCCAAATACTTTGACCATTTTTAAATGGTATTTGCTTTTTAAAATTTTTTGTTGGTTGCTTTGTGTATGTGTGTGCATGAGTGTGTGTGTGTGTATGTGTAAGCTGATCTAAGAAACCATTTCATAGCCCAAATTCATAACATTTGTCTGTATGTGTTCTTTTGAGAATTGTTTAGTAAAGTACTAATGTTAGCTCTTCAATTTGTTTGAGTCAATATTTACAAATTTTTGAGGTAGAGATCTAGTTTTCTTCTTCTTCATGTGGCTATCTAACTGAGCCAGTGAAATTTTTCTGAAATGGTTATACTTTTCCCATTTGATGGTCTTGGCACTCTTGTTGACATTACGACTGAAATTTCACTTCAATTCCAATGCTATTTATCTGATTTTAAGAGAGATGTGTTACCATCATGTACTGTACATATTGCTCTATTCACCTTATATCTTGACAAAAATAAGAAAATAAGCATACTATGTATATTTAAAAAGAAATCAAAGAGAGAAGTTCATCAAGTAAAGAAATAAATTGTTGAGTAGAGAAAGGTTTGTGGTGGTGGAATGACAGGGCGTATGGCTGTATGACTCATCAAACTGCATGCCAAAACCTGCAAGTTTGAGTACAGGCTGAAGGTGCTTGGGGAGCACTGTGCTCCCCAGCACAGAAGTAAGTTGCTGTATCGTCAGGCTTGGAGGCTTGGATGCTCAGGAAACTGTCCTTCCTTGTTCCACCTAACTGAGCAGTCAATCTCCCACTTCTTATCAATTCACCACTCTGATATAAAGTTGTCAGGAGGATGAGACCTTCTCCAGGGTCCTGTTTGTACCATTTGAAGTTATTAAATGTGCTTGAAGAGCTGCAGTTTATGGTGAGATCCTCTCCTTCCTGGACAGTTATAGACTGAGGACTCTGATTCAGCTGTTGACCACTCACCGCTGGTTAGAAAGACAAAAGAAGGTAGTTAAAATGTGTTTTAATCACTTTTCTCATACCTGCTATAGACAATAATTATATCCCAGAACTCCCCAACCCTCCCTCTATGCTTTTTCCTTTCCTCCTTCTCTAGATTTTCTTTTAGTTAGTAAAATAAAGCTTCACCTCCTGCCTTCACAGAGTTTCCATCTCTTGAGAATGCTCTGAGGAAAAAAATCAGAAACCCCCAAACTCACATGATAGTTGCATCCATAGTATCATTAGTAAAACTTCAAGGAGCATCTCCATCAGCAAATGATTCTCTAAGTGTGTTTTTTGCTTCAAGAAACCCTTCTGGATTTAGAGCAGTAACACAGACACCGCAGTAGAGTTGAAACACCTGTTCTGTGTCATCAGCCAATTTAATCTCTGATTAAATCTTTCCCCAGGCTTTGAGCTAATCTTGTAAATTAACTATGAAGGGAGACACTGCCACCCAGTGGCTAGACATTAGATTCTGATCCTCTCCTGACCTGCTTTCAGTCTCCTTTCATAATCTTCCCATTTCTCTTAATTATTCAATGAACACACTTATCCAGTACCCACAGAGACATAAACAAGGAAAACAGGAACAATTCTCTGGTCACCTACATATCTCTGGAAAGTCAATTCAGGACATCCTTTTGATTGAGTATGATGGATTGAAGACCTTTTTTCCTCCTGTGTTCCTTTCTGAGAATGAACTGAAATGAGAATTTTTTTAAAAAAATTAAAAACAGGGCCAGGGATTTAGCTCAGCGGTTCGGAGGCCTGCCTGGCAAGCTCAAAGACCCGAGTTCAATCCCCGGTAAAAAAAAAAAAAAAGTTGAATTACAGAGATGAATCCCAAACTCAACAGAAATCTAGGTTTCCTGCCAGAGGCAATAATTAGGGCACCTGATACCTCAGGAGATTAGAGCAAAGCAGGTACAGGGAACATTAAACAGAGTTGGAAGAATCAAAGTACAGCTGTATAAAATGCAGTTACCCTCTCAGGTCCCCCACTCTGACATGGAAATCCAGGTATCCAGTGTTTCCCAACCACTTTTATGAAAGAAACTCTGTTTTCTTACAATATTAGGTAAAGAAACATGAGTCTTTGGGTACCAGGTTAGTTGAAAACAAAGTGGGGCAAATATTTAAGGGTAGAGGGACTGAAGCCATCTTCCTTTTCTCAAACCGCAGATTCATATCTCATTATTTATGTATGAGCACCCTAGAATCATTAGACATTAAAAAAACAACATAAATGAGAGAGAGAGAGAGAGAGAGAGAGAGAGAGAGAGAGAGAGAGAGAAGGACTTAACAGGGTCATCCTCAAAGAAATTTGTTTTTATTTTTTAACAGTGATGTCAATATTTTGCCTTTTCTTTAAGTAAAAAAAAATAGTAGCAAAATATCATTGTTAGAGAATGGAATTTTAGAGGGTATGTTTTTTATTTTAAGAATAAAAGCTATGATGTAATTTAAGGATTCCCTTCCTTCCTTCCTTCTTTACTGTTTTTTTTTTTTTTTTTTTTTTTTTTTTTACAGTCCTGGGAATTAAAACCAGGGCCCCGCATGACAAGTGCCTAGGAACAAACACCTTATTACTTCCTTTCTCATCTGTGCCATTGAGATTCCCCTGCCTGCTGGCCATGGCTTCTGCTTTGTATTGCACTGTGGTCTTCAGATTTAGGGGAGCAGAAAATCCATATCCAATTGCCTGTGTGTCCTTTTCTCTTTCTTTCTGATTTTGTTGTCAGTTTTCCTAAGTTGTTTGGGTTTGTCTAAAACTTAATTCTGTGTGTGTTTACGTGCTTACTGCTTTATTCCTACTGTGTGGTGGATCACTATTCTCTACCAAGTAGAAATAGATAGTCTCATGCTTCTCTTTCATTTTAGCAACTCTGCAAAATTCTATTACCAAAAAAATGTGTTGCTTAAAATAAAAACTCAGGGCTTATTTAAGATAAAAATCATCTTCATGACTCTGCAACTTCCTTCATGGAATGTGGAAGACATAGAGGCGACCTAGAGAAGGAAAGTGCACTCTCCACCATACCTGCCGCCCTTTGCAGCCTCAGCAGTGTTAGGTACTGTTCCAGTTGTTCGTGATAGTTGCCGCTTCAGCCTCTGCATTCAGAGAACGCTGTTTCCCTGAGAATGCTGGGAAGCCATTTCTATCCCTCAAAGTAGCAGTGTAAAGCATGTAAGCTCTGGAATAAACATGGCATAATTTCTCAGTCATCTACTTCAGGTATTTTCTGGTATGGAAAGAAATTAGGCTATATTACAGAATAGATTTTACATATTGAATGTGAGCATTAAAAGAAATTTCACATATACAAGGGACTATATCACCCATGCCTCTGAGAATAGAGTCTCCTTGGATATTAGCTATAACTTATAGGCATGTTTTAAACCAATGAGTCTACTGATAAAACTTGTATATGTCTTTGTAAACTATAATGCCCTAAGCAATATAGCTGTTGTGCATTCTAAATTCATTGTTCAGATGATCATTTAATTAGAATTAAAAGGTCAAGGATGACAAATTATTCTAGTGATGCTATTCAGGAAGAAAATCCTGCCTTTAAAATGATTATTTCAATTTAAAGTTATAAGAGAAGAAAGATTTCTATCAATAGCCTCAATAAAAATATGAAGTAAATATGGGGGTAGTACTTTTGAGTATAACTTCAAGAAAACCAAACAGTTCTATTACTGTAAAATTGTCTCAGGAAGATTTAGAGACAAATACTTTATAAATCAACTAGTAGGATTAGGAGAAACATTACCTACAGTATTAGTTTTCTAGGGTTTCCAAAATAAAACACCACGGACTAGATAGCTTGAACAACAGAAACTTATTTTCTCACAGTTTCTCTTAGTTCTAATCTAAACTTAGTACAAAATATCACATGGCCTTTCTTTGGTGTGTAAGCGTCAGAAAAGAGAGGAAAGGGAGAGAAAAGAGGAGAGAGGGAGAGAAAAGAGAGAGGGAGAAGAGAAAGGGAGAGAGAACTGGAGTTTTCTGGTGTCTCTGGTTCTCAGGAAACTTCAAACCTATGAGACGATTAGATCTGGGCCCCACCACAGTGAGCTCATTTCACCTTAATGAAAGCTTAATGAGCTTAATGAGCTCTTTTAAGTCCTGTCTGTAAACACAGCCACTTTAGGATTAGAGAGCTTCAGCATAGAAAGTTCAATCCATGATGTTTATATTCCATGATTTTCTGGTATGCTGTTTTGCAGAGGTGAATACCAGGGAGACCTGCTCCGGCCTTCAGGTGAATGATCAACAACAGGAGAAAGCTTGTGCAGTGACAGATCTGAAAGAAGTGAGAAGAGGGTGTGCCCTGCCACATCCACCGCATCTGTGGAGTGGTCCTGGGCTCCAAGGTGCTGGTCTGGGTTTGAAGTTCTAAAAAGATTTCCTTAATGAGATTTTTTTTTTCTGGTGAGTTCACAGGTGATGATTTTTCTTTTACAATCAAGTCTAATTCTCCTTGTTCCCATGAATCAGAGAGTTGGATCCTCCTGTTTTTGTAGAGTACTCTGGGGCTGAATTGGGGTATGGTTTAATTTGTGTCTGGAAGCCTGACATCAGAACTAAATCTTATTTGCATGATGTGCATTGGCATCTGTGACCAATGGTCTATGTGGTACAGGTTTTATTGTATTAGCAAAAGTTCCCCCATAAAAAAAGAGACAGGGGCACTAGTCTGTCTGTTAGAAAGTTGATGAAAGTTAAACTGTTCCTGAGGCAAAAAGTAAATATTTAGGATCATTGTTGTCACTCAAATATAAATTCTTTTACTTCAAAACTTGATGACTCTGGTCACATGACCTAATCTCTCTGAAATCAAATTCATCTGATAAAAAGGAATGAAATATATTTCTTAGAGTGGTTGACAGTAATAAGATAAACAATATGCATGATCAATCTCATATTAGCATAATATAAATTACAAGCATTACACAAATAACAAAGAATACTGAGTACTCATGATATTCAAAATATTTCTGAGGTAAGTATTATTGTCCTCTTTCTACTGATGAGAAAATTGAGCCTTGAGAAGTTAAGTAGCTTGTTCAAAGTCATACACTTAAGATGTGGCAGACATATGGTATCCCCAAAATCTTAAAACTCTTCCCCACACCCTGCCTGTTAGGGGCAGGGAAAGTGATTCTTTAAAGTGTTTTTAATTTATTTTTCTTCCTCCCCACAAAAGGAACTAAGTGATAGAGATGTAGGATCATTTGAATTGTGCTAGGATCTTCCTAAGTGTCTCCTGGATTTTCTTCCTAGCTGGCAATGCTCTGTTACATCCTGGTTATTTTTATTACGGGTAAGATAACAGAAAACAAGAAACCAAAAGACTGTCATGTACACATCCAGTGAACCTTATCACACAACCCTTGAACTTCAGTTTTCTCATAGTAAAGCGGAAAAAAAAAAGGTATCTGTCATCCTATTGCTTTTTTACTGCACTAAATGTAAATATATGTGACTTTTTAGGTGTTAGGTATTATATACAGACTTATTGCAATGACTGTTAAGTAACAGACATCTATTTCATAATAGAAGCTGCACTTCATTCTGTGTAGTGTCAAACAACAAAAATCTCTTTGTAACTTCTGAATCGTGTTATCTCTCTGACTAAAAAAAAAGTTTATAAAACTGCTCACACTCTGGTGCTTGCACCCACCCAATATACTGGCAGTGAGCCTGTCTTGTTCAGAAATGAAGACTCAGACATAGACAGTAAAGCTTCTTTTCAGTTCTACTGTCACAGTTACTGAACATGTGCCACGGGAGGCAAATTTCTTTGGATCTCCTTCTGTAGCATCCTCTTTTCAAACAGAAAACACACACGGAGAGCTAAACTAGAAAATTCTACAGAGATGAAAGTGATGCTATTCAGCACTTCGTCTTAGAAATCAAGTTGGAATGTGAGTATGGAATTGATGCAGTAGGAGAATTAAACTTACTGGCTCCAAGTCTTAGGCTCTGTGTGGGCCAGAGACGTACTGTAAAGTCACAAAGTACCACTGTCGTTCAGTAAAAGTCAGAAGCCACAGAATAGGAGGAGGCAGAGGGGCAGGGATGGTGAAGGACTAGAGACAAACCTTTGTGTGTTCCAATTCTACTAAAAGTGGCCTAAGTTTAAGCCTTTTGTCCTGGATGGAAAAATAAAACAAGAGGAAAACAAAAAAAGCTGTATGCAAGATGCAGACTGTTGAACATGCTTTGCTACTCTTTGTAGTCTCATGTGAGGTTTGGGGCCAGCTGGAAGTGAGAACAGGTTAGGGTACTGCTATTGTAAGGGTGGAAAAGGCTCCACTCCTTTCCTAGCTTCTCCCCAACCCACTAGCACTCATAGCTCTAGAGGCATCAGAGTGGAATTATCCAGCAGATAGGAAGAGCTAAAATCAGTCAATTTCTTAGACATAGATTAGGCACAGAGCAGCCCCTGAGGGCAGTCACTGAGTATAGACAACTTCATTTCGATGCCTATTATTGCCTTCCAGGGCATTCGGAGCTTGACATCAGCCTTTCCTAACGAATCACTGAATTTTTGTTGGACATTTCCACTTTGCATTGAGTTCTTCAATTAATAAACAAACAGTGGGACTGGCAGGGAGAAACTTGCCTCCATTTTGTACCTGATTTGGCTCATAAAGGCATTGATGGCGGAGTTGAACTACATAGGTGGAAGGCGAAGTGAAGTCTAGGCCCTCCTTCCTGGCCATCCTCTTTCTATTCCTTCTCCTAGAAGCTTCCCTAAAGAATGATTGGTAAACTGGACCTGTGCAGCTTTTCATGAAACATTCCAATCGGGAAATGACTACTAAATACCAGCTGCAGCTCCAGGTTAGTGCCGCCCAATAGGGGAAGGTGACATGGGCTGCTACCTACAGGTACATGGACTGCTGCATGCCTCCTACCTTGAAGGGTATGGCTGGGCCTATGAGCAAAGAGGTGTAAGGCACAGGGAGCTGAATAATTTCCTTTCTCTAAATTGGACATAAATTTCTCCTTCCTGTCCACATGCTTGCTTCCTTTAGCTAACTCTCCTGTGATAGTTAACCGATACTGTTAACCTGAGTAAGATATGCTACCTACTTCCAAACAAGAGGCTGAGAGGTTCTAGTTGGATGAGCAGCTAGACAGTTTGTGACAGTTTGCTCTTCTGTTTACCAAATAGCTACTCTGCTTTTCCTACTATGTGTAACCCTTTGCTAAGGAAGAGAACCTCACATACCAACACAGTCACTAAACCCACGTGAATATCTCATGTGACCCACAGCTCACTTCACCAGGGTGGGATATAGTTTCTATTGGACTGGAGACTTATGGAACTAAAACTGTTTTCCCTCAACCCACCTCTTCAGAAAGAATGGACAGCAGTTACTGCTAGTCCACAGACACTTTAAGATGATGGAGGACAGGGTCTGTGAAAAACATCCTACTCTTCTGGGTGTGGTGGTGCACATCTATAATCTCAGCACTTGGGAGGCTGAGGTAGGAGGATCCCTGTGAGCTCAAGGCCAGCCTACATTACATAGCAAGATCTAGTCTCAGAAGCAAACAAATCAACCCTACTCTAACAGATGGAAGAAAATTCCTCCATAAGCTTATGCAAGGAAAATCCTTATCCCCTATTTTGATAGTTCCTAAGAGAGAGTCTTCCCTGCTTATTGTCTTCTTTAGGTCTTACATAAAAAGGGCCTTGAGAAGAATGCCATTTTCAGAGCCTTATACATTTCATAGTTCACTGCCTATTTGTGGAAGATTGAACCCCAAGAATGGCTTTAAATTTGAGACTGGGAAAAGCTTCTTAAATTTTAGTATGTGGGTATCTATGAGTTTTAGTCATTGTTCTAATTTAACTCACAGAGATAATAGAATTAAAATTTCTTTGTATGTTTTTAGATTTGCCTATTTCTTCTTCAAATTAGAGTGGAGCCATATCATGGTCAATTTTCCAGACTTTATGCAGAGAATTTTGATTCTCTTGAGATTATTATCTGATTAACACTGCAAATACTATTTTAAATACAGTTGGGAAGTAATATGGCTTATAATCAAATAGACAAAGTATCTACTTGATAGCCTTGCTTCCTCCTGACATGGAACATATGACTGAAATAATAGGAGGGTAGCCATTTTAAGATAAGAAATTGTTTTAGTTACTTTCTCATTGCTGGCACAAAAGTTAAAGGAAGAAAAATTAAAGGAGGACAAGTCAAAGGAGTGACAGTTTGAGGGCAATTAATAACTTATAAATAAATTAGAAATGTATAGCTTGGCTCAACATCACAAAGCTCGTAGGAACCAGAATGGCCTAGTTTTGGGGGTGTTTTAGATTATCTAAAAACATATGTTAACTGTTTCTCTTTAGTCTGTGATCTTACATGATCCGAAAAGTATTCTTAAATACTTACTTTTGGCCAGGATTATCAGTGTAGAAGTGGAGGATGAAGGTAAAAATCTTGATCATTTCATATTAGGACAAAATGGAGGAGTTTCAAGTTAGTACTCAAGGAAATAACAAAGAATAGAAAATGAATTAAAGCACAATGAGAATTGGAGATCAGTCCAGCCAGAATTAGGGATTTATTCATATCTTATTGCCCCTTATCCATTTCCTAATTCTGCATCTATAATACAAACTTAGACAAAGAGTTGCCTGTGACTTCTCCCAGTTAGCAATGGGATTGCTACTCCAATAGCTACAGCATAGTCTTAATCTACTACAGAGAATCTAAGAATGAATTAGAGTGTTTCTTGATGAACCAAGGTGGAAAAATAACAGAAGGCAAATAGTCTCCTTGGGAAAACGGAAGCACATTATTACATAAATTACTGGAATTCATGTCATTCTCATCCCTGTTTGATGTTTTAGTGACTAAAAAATGACATATTGACAGACAATAAAATCAAATTAAATTTGTGCTTAAACATATATCTCCTCCTTTTATCATTCCTATTTTCTTCCTTTTTTGCTTTTGTTTTTGTTTTCAATAAAACAATTGCATTGATTTCAGGCTTCTTTTCTGCCAGGTGCCCCAGCCACCCCTCCGGAGCCCTGTGTCAGGAGAGTATCTGTGGCCCAGGTGCAGGTTTGAAGACAGCCCACAGCAGCCTAGAGATCACTGTGCATTTCCTGCACAGAAGTAGGTGCCTGAGTGGCTGGGCCGGGCAGCTGTGATATGCAGGGAACTTTGCTGCTTTTTGTCATCCAACTTGGCAGCGATGTTTCCGTGACTCTTCTCATCCCTGCCTTTCTGTAGCATCAACAAGAAGACAGGACCTCCACCATTTTGTCTGTACCAGTGCAAGGCATATAAAGTCTGTGATGAATTGCAGTTTATGGTGATATCTTCTCCCTCTTGGGTGACCAGAGACTGACTCTGCTGCAGTTCTTGGCTGCTGACCCCTGTTCCAAAAGACAATGTAAAGAAAACATAGGAAACTTTTATAAGATCTTCATGATCATAGCGGGGAGGGTGACTCTCTTCGCCCTCCCACATTTCCCAGGCAGTAACACCATCGCATCAGCACAGAATACTATTTTTTATTTAACATGTTCTGGTTCTTCCCAGGACAGGAGATGACTCCGTGCCTGCCCTTGGGAAGCTCTCATCATCTCATAGCTCCCAGATGAAGCACAGACTCACAGGCTGCCTGCAGCCCCAGCATCCCCACAAGTACATGCAGGAGGGTCTCCATCTCTTGGCTCCTCAGTAAAGACGCTGAATCTGACTTTCCAGAAAGGCTTCCTCAGTAGAGATTCCTGTAGCTCATTGGCCCAGGGGGCTGCACCAATCAGAGACCTTCGTGGGTGCCTGCTTGTCATACTGCCTGACTTCACTCAAATACTTTGTAAACACTGCCACCCTCAGAAATGCTGAGAAACTGATGACTTTTCTGGAGTTAATTTATAAATGAGCTACATCTATTTACTGCAGTAAATTATTCCATTTATTATGAAATTTAAAAATATCCAGTTACTCTGCCAGACTTGAGAAAGTTTCCCCTCTATTTAATGAGTAAAACTTGATTTTTTTTTTTTTTTTGGTACCAGGGATCTAACTCAGGCCCTTGCATTTGTGAGGCAGGCTCCAAAGCCACTGAGCTAAATCCCCAGCCCAAACCTTGATCATTTTTAACACGGGCTTACAAATGTGAAATCATCGTCACAATCTAGACGACGAGCATCTACGCCATCCCCCAAAGTTCCATGGTGACTCTATCCCTTGTGCTCCTGTTTAATCTCTCCTATTAACTCCCCTCCCACATCTTCGCAATCCCAAGATAATTTCTGATCTGCTTTCTTGGTTTTTATCAAATTCCTGCCACTTAGACAATTATTTTCGCACCTGTAAAATGGGAGTAATGAACTTCACCTTGCAGGTTGTTTGTGACAATTACAAGATGAGATATATCACAAGAATCATGGCATACGGAGCCCATGAGAGCCACTCAGCGCATGTGGCTGAAGCTGAATGCTGTTTTCCAGAAACTTCTGTCTACTGGTCCCATATGACCCAGAGCACATCTTTAATTCTCCTCAACATGGTCCTTCAGATGTTTGAAGAAAACAGCAATATTCCCTAGAATGCATCCTATATTTTGGGGTTTTTTTCTATTTTTACGAGTGCCTATTAATTTTATAAGATACTGGGTTTAAATATTTAAACTGCAATTTACTCATCTCTCCATCTATTACCAACCCTTACACCTGCCTCTTCTCTGCTATGTTCCATTAGCTTTAAATGTTCTGCTTTCTCTTGGTGTGTTAATCTGAATGTCATTAGGATGTACACTTCAACTTTAAAAGGGTTCATCATTTAATTATTTCCTCCATCACTTTTTCTGCTTGCTTGGAGCATTGTCCCTCCTTGTGAGGATCTGTGTAATCCCTCTTGGAAACTCTATATCCCTTTTCCTCTTTCATCCATTGATGAATAATATATAAAAGTCTTGTCTTCGTTTGGCTTTCCAAACTCAATTCAGACTTCAAGCTTGCAATTCTGTTCTTTCAATGTAGCCATGATTTAATTTTTCTTAGCCTTATTTTAAGAAGTACAAAAAATAAGTTTGGTTTAGTGGAACATATCTGTAATCTCAGAACTCTGAGAGGCTGAGGTAGAGGGATCAAACGCTAATGGAAAAAAGTAGGTTTCTTCACAACAAACCTTTATTCGTGTGTTATTTATTTTATCTCAACCTTAGAAACCTGGAAGATTGTGGAAATGTAAACTATGGAATGACTGGGACCAAAGCCAAAAATGTCTTCACCACATAATGTAGGCTCACTCAACCATGGAGAAAAGAAAGACATTGAAGGAGTCAAACTAAATATCACCTACATTTCATCCCTGAGAACAGAGGCTTCCAGATCATGGAAGATGAAAATGGTGTCTTGTAAAAAAGTTTTGCAAATCAATGTATTTAAAGACCAAAGTACACCAAAAAAGTGTCTTGCCATTTCTAATGAAATATATCCACAAACATAGGTAAGGTAAACTCTGTTACGACTAGATACAAGTCTTTCTAGTTTCCCAATTCAGGAAACTCTTTGGATGGACACTTGATTTTATTTTTAGCAAAGCATTGGAAAATATTTCAGTATTTTAGTGAAGAATAATTAGGAGAAAATTCCTTTATAAATCTTATATGTGCACACATACATACATTTGTTCACATACATGTGTATATATTTGTGGACAAGTACTCTCTTGCACTTTCAGGGAAGTTATTGTGCCTTTTCCTACTTTTCTTTTTCTTCTGATAATTCAGATTTTTTTTCCACTTGAAACTCTAGTTTAAGGGGCAAGGATAATTCTAGGCATGAAAAGGATAAATTTTTCATACAAATTAAAGTTCAATAATACCCTATTCAGCACATAAGTGAAAAGTGCAAGACCAAGAATCAGTAAATGTTTGAGATGATTGAAATCAGATTTCCTGAAGAAGGCCTAGAAGTATTTAAGTGAGAAAATAAATGAGTGTGTCTAATAACATGAATCCTTTCATAACATTTAATGTAAACTCACAGTTAGCCACAAACAATAACTGAGGTATTTTGTAAAATTGTATACAAAACTGAGACACATGACTGTCAGTACTCTGAAAAGTACAAAAACATGCACCAGAAGAACTTGCTGTATTGGAGACTTTGTTTTTCCATTTCAGACATATGTTCCCTTCCCTTCGGGTGCGGGGAAGACAGGGTATCCTCATGTCAGGAGTTAAATAGGATTATAAGAAATTTGTGGTATGGCTAAACCAGCAGCCTCTCTCTGAAAGTAGGAAAGGGGAATAGTTAGACTGATTGACACTCTGAATGTCAGGGAACTCTCCTAACTCATTTGTAAAATCTTCTTTTAAGCTCCACTTGTCTCGCCTACTTTAAAGCATGCTCCCTCACACTGCCATGTTTAAAGGAAGCAAGACTGGTGCCTCCTCTTCTGAAATGCCAAAGCAGGGTTGGCTTGGCCCCTAGCTGCAGGTTTGAGTACAGGCTGCGGATCCCTGCTAAGCACTGTGTACTTGCTGCACAGAAGTACATAGCTGAGTCTTCAAGGTGGGAGGTCGCAATGTGCAGAGAGAGGTGCTGGGCCGTTTTGTCGAGAAAAACTGTGAGTCTTCCTTTTTTACTGCTTTCCGAATTCGAGCGTATAGAGATCAGGAATGTAGGACCTTCAGCAGGGTACTTTTTGTACCACGCAAAATAATCAAACAAATTATTATTATAGTCACAATTCAAAATGGAAGTTTTTCCTTCTTGGACAGTCAAGGATGGAGAACTTTGCTTAACCTGCTGTCCATCATTCTGCTGTTGACTACTTACCCCTGTTTAGAGAGAAAGTGACAGATTTAAATTTTTATTTTTAGTATCCCTACAAAAAAATCAGATATTAGAACATAGAACAAAACATAACTCCCCAAAATCTTATTCCCCCGCTGTTATAGCCTTTGGAGTTTTCCTTATATGTTCAAAGAACCCCTTCACAACTCACAGTGTGCCTGAAGCCACAGAACCAACACTGAGGCTCCCAGGATCTTGGCCATGCTCTCTGTGAAGTCCAGACAGTCTTATCTCCTACCTAGGCAATTGCAACTCTGACTTCAACTTCCTCTGCATTGTTTTCCTTACACAGACATTTTATTCCACCAATGAAGAACCCGGCTTTCATCTAAAGTTATGTACAGTTAGGAAAGGAAGCACTGCCACCTTTAGTCGAAATGTAGAAAATGTACTCTTAAGAGAAATTAATAAGACACACATGTATGAATACCTAATGGGTTTTCTGGTGTGAAAATCTAAAAGTGTAAATAAGGATCCAAAGGTGTAATTGATACTTTGTAATAGGAAGAAAAGGTCTAAAGGAGTAGGGGAGGTGAGAGGGGTAGGGGAAATGTAAGAAGGGAAAAGAAAAAATATGATGAAATGAAAAACATGGAAACAAAGTCTTTGTAAATAGGTAGGGTGGGGAAAGTGGAGAGAGATTGGGGGTGGGGAAAAAAGAACCATGATATGTTATGTAAAGGTACAAAATCTCATGATTTTGTATTATATACCTAAGTTGTGCCAATAAACTTAATGGAAAAAAAAACAAAAAATCTTAGAGATTGAAAAAGAAGAAAAGCACATATGTAACAAAAAATTGTAATTTTTTGAATCTGGGAAAATTCTTATACAGTCTCATTGCTTAACAAAAAAGAAAGAAAGAAAGAAAAAGAAATGTAGAAAACTTCTGAATCCTAAAGCTCAATTTGCAAGATTAAAAAGGTCAAAATAAGAAATCGACAGAAGGGAAGGTCTTCAGAGATCACATAATTCAAATATCCATATGTGCATATGTGTGATTTGCTATGATAGAAAACAATATCTGAGAATACAAAGAATTGTGTTAGACCAGCTGATTGACAAAATGTCAACTGGAAAACATAGGCAGATACCTTACTTAAAGATATTAAAGTGAAACAATGCTCATTGGAGCTATAAAAGTGTATAGTGTTCAATTTAACAAAATGATTACAAATTTAGAACAAGCAAGTTTGATGGTTTTGTCTTTAACTTAATTGAATTCTCTCATGATTTTCTCATGTGTCCATATTTTCTCTAGTTAAATAAATGGTACAAGATAATTAAATTTGATTAAAATTACTGGTGCTATTTAAAGAACACAAATCAAGTAAAAAAAGTGTGTCCTGTCTATCAAATCACTTTCTCAACTAGATTATCTGTCTTGGGATGGGGTGAGATCAGTCAGTATGCTTTCAATTTTCAAAGGAGAAAATTAAGGACATCATCCCACAAATTCCATATACAATATCATACTTCAGTCTTAAAAACTACCAGAAGATGCTAAAGTGGTAATATATGTAGTACAATTCTCAATAATGTCAGAGACAAAAAGAATAAATGTAATTTTAACAACTGATAATTGCAACCAAGATAAATCTGGATTAGTTTTAATAAAAACAAATAACAAAAATATCTGATTCATATTTTACTATAGTAATAAATAATTTGAAATTTATTTTTATAAAGGAACTAGTATTCCTGGAAGTCACAACACCTCCATTAATATTATACTAAGATCACACACTAACTCCATTTCTGGAACATCTAGTGAGTTGCTCATCTTCTGTGTTATACATTTTTAGCTCACAGAATTCAGACATCCTAGTGAGGACATATTCCCTGATTTTATGTATTCATGTATTCAATTAATATAACAGCATCTATAAAGTATCTTGTGTCATACAAAACTGTAAATTCTCATTATTTATCCAGTAATCTAAAGAAAAAGAAAGTGTACAAAAATGCAGACATAGAATGCTGCATTATGCCTGAGTTTTTAAGGAGAAAACACAATGATGATCAGTTAGTTCTGCTGAGGAATGCCTCACTGTGGAGTCAGGAAAGATCTCACATATGTGGAGGGAGCTTGGCCTTAGAGGTGGAGGAAGACTGACTAGTTGGCTGCACAGAAAAAATTGCATTCCAAGTAAGGGCATCTGAAATTTCAGAAGTAAATAAGCAAATTATAGGACAATCATATTCAAATCATATGGAGACATGTATGAGGTATTAAGAACACTGATTTTCCAAGGCCCAAGGGACTGTTGGACTCAGTAACATGCGGTTGAATCCTCTCCTTCACCTAACTGTTCGTATAGATGGAAAGAAGGTGCATCCTGGTCCATCCTGACCCCAATCAGCTATGAAACCTTCGGTGCTCTCTTATGAGGCTTGTTTCAGGAGGAAGAGAAGGCCTTGAATGAGATATTAGGTGAAATAGGAGAGAACAAGGGTGTCTGGCAGCAAAAATGGTAAAGTTCTGCCTCACCTGCCACCAGTGAGAGGCAGAGACTGGGAGACAGTAACCCACATATGATTGACCTAACTTTAGTTTTTAAATTCCCACGCACAGAGCACAAACTCCGAGTACATTTCATAAGTACTCTCAGCAATGAGAAAAGTAACTAACACAATAGCTGACTTGCTGTTAGAAGGTTGGGTGTGGTTAGAAGAGGTAGGGCACTGGAGGCTTGTCCTAGAAAGGTTTAACTCTTCTCTACACCTCTCTTCACACTCTGCTTCCCTGCAACCATGCTGTGAGCAGCCCTCTTCTGCCATACCCGTGTACTATGTTGTCCTGCATTGGAGCCAGGGAACTATGAACTGAAACCTCTACAAACTATGAGCCCAAATACAGCTTTCCTCCTTTAAATTTGGGTGTCAGAAATCCTATCCCAGCACCCTATCCCCGCAATAGAGAGTGTGACTAACACAGAGAACAGACAATGCAAAGAATCAATGAAGAGTTGGTTCTTTGGAAATAAAAATAACATAGATAGACCCTTAGCGAAACTTACCAAAAGAAAGATGATCAAATGAATAAATTTCTAGACATATATGACCTCCCAAAATTGAAATGAGCTTATCAAAAACCTAAACAGATAAATAATAAGCAATATAATTAAAACAGTAATAAAAATTACCCAACAAGAAAGAGCTCAATGCAAAATAGTCATGGCTGAATTTTACCAAAACTTTAAAGAACTAACACTAATCTAACACTGAAGTTTCTCACCGATCCAACACTGAAGTTCCTCAAACTAATCCCATAAAGTAAAAAGGGAAGAAATCCTTCCAAACTCATTTTATGAAGCCATTTAGTATCATTTTGATACTGAAAGTAGAAAGGACACAATAAAAGAAAAGTACAGACCAATATTCTCGATAAAATAAATTCAAAAATCCTCAATAAGATTCTTGCAAAAAGAATTCAACAACACATTAAAAAGTGTATGCACTGTGATCCAATTGGATTCATACCAAAAGATATAAATCAATAAAAATTATACAGCACATAAATAGAATCAAGACTAAAATTCACATGATCATCACAATAGACAAATAAAAAACCTCAAAGGAATTCAATATGCTTCAGATTAAAAGCCCTGAACGAACTAGGTATAAGGATTTACCTCAACATAAGAACAGCTATATATGACAAAACCATAGTCAACATCATACTGAATGGGGAAAAACTGAATGTATTTCCTTTAAAATCAGGAGTAAGACAAGGGTATCTACTCTAACCAGTTATGCATCAATATAGAACTTGAAATTTTAGCCATAGCAATCAAGCAAGGGAAAAATAGAAATGGAATATAAATAGAAAAATAGTTAAATCTTCCCTGTCTGTCCATGACATAACTCTATATTTATAAGACTCTACAAGTCCACCAAAACTACAATTATGACCAATAAACAAATTCAACAAAATACCATGAGATAAAAATCAACATAAAAAGAAGCTTTCAGCAATAAGGAGCAATCTAAGAACTAAATCAGAAAAACAATCCCATCTATAGTAACTTAAAATTCATAGGAATAACATAACCAAGGAGATGAAGACATCTATGAGGAAAGCTACAAAACACTGAAGAAAAAAATTAAAGGAGACACTAGAAGATGTAAAGACCTCTCGTGTTCATAGATTGGAAGAGTCAATTTCATTAAAATTGCCTTGCTACCAAAAGCAAACTGCAGATTCAATGTAACCCTTATAAAAATAGCAATGACATTCTTCACTGATCCTATAATTATAATCATTCATTGATCACTAATTTTATAATTCACAATCCAGAACAAAGTGAATATTACTGGGGGCATTATGATACCCAATTTCAAAATATATTACAGAGCTATATAGTAACAAAAACAGCATGATACTTGTACAAGAAGACATGAAAATCAATGGAACAGAACAGAAGACCCAGAAATATACCTATGCATTTATAGCCATGTGGTTCTTGACAAAGGGACCAAACACATATTGGAAAAATGATATCACCTGTAACAAATGATGTTTAGAAAACCAGATATCTACATGTAAAAGATTGAAAATATATTCTCATTTCTCACCCCAATCAAAACATCAACTCAAAACAGGTTAAAGATATAAATGTAAGGGCCAGGATTTAGCTCAGTGGTGCCACACCTGTCTCACAAGTGCAAGGTCCTGAGTTTGATCCCTGGCACCAAAAAATAAAAAATAAAAAGATATAAATGTAAGGCCTGAAAAATCGACACTGGTGAAGAAAACATAAAGGTAACAACACAAGATATAGAGACAGAAGATAACTTCCTGAATAGGCTTTCAATAGTAAAGAAACAATAGCAAAAACCAATGAATGGGATCATATCAAATTTTAAAACTTCTGTACAGTAAAGGAAACAATATCCACAACTAAGTAAGAACCTCCTGAAAGGGAAAAAGTCATTATCAGCCACTCTTCTATTTGAATAACTCCATACCAGAAGAACAAGTAATCCAATCAGTAGGTGAACAAATCAATTGAAGAGACATTGTTCAAAAGAAGTACAAGTGGCCAGTAAAAAAAAAAAAAAAGTTTCACATCTTTAGCCATTAAGGAAATGCAAACAAACACTACTATGAGTTTCCATCTCACCTTTGTCAGAAAAGCTATCATCAATAATACAAAAACTGGGCCTGGGATTTAGCTCAGCCCTTCAGTGGCCTGCCTCGCAAACGCAAGGACCCGAGTTCGATCCCCGGCACCAAAGAAAAAAATAGAAAAACTAATAGCTGCTGGAGAAGATCCAGAGAAAGAATAACCCCATCATACTTTTGGTTGGAATGGAAACTCATAGAACCGCTATGGAAATCAGTATAGAATTTCCTTAAAACTAAAAATAGAACTACAATGTGATCCAGATATATTACTCTTCAGTATATGCCCAGAGTGATTAAAGTTTGTGTACCAGAGACTCATTTGCATTCCTGTGTTTATTACGACACAAGTCTAATGGTCAAAATGTGGAGTCAGCTTTTGCTCCCATCAGTAGATGAATAGATATGAAAAATGTGGTGTGTAGACACCACAGAGCATTATTCAGCCACAAAGAAGAATGAAAGCATATTGTTTGTAGAAAAATGTTTGGAAATGGGAATTAAAAATTTAAATAAAATAAGCCAGACTCAGAAAGACAAGTATCATACATTTTTCCCTTATAGGGAATCCTGAAAAAAAAAATTGCATGAAAGTAGAAAGGAAACTATTATACAAAAGAGGGAGATTGGGAGAGGAAGACAGGAAGGTAAGAGAGTCAGGAACAATTATAGGATAGATGGAAATGATAAAAATATATTACATCTGTATATGAAAATGCAATGGTACTCCACACAACTAGTAGAGATTAATGAAAAATATATAGGGTAAAATTATCTTGTTTTATTTTATCTGAAATTAATACAAAGTAAACATATACGTATGTAAGAAGAAAAGTGAATCCCTTTTAGAATTTCTTCTCCAGAGCAAAAAGCTAAGAACAATAAATCTATGCACTCATACAGCCAAAAAGAAATCTATAACCTGGGTAGTTCGGTGTCTTACTGGAGACAAGAAAGTGCTACCTTCTTCAGAGAAGATGACACTTTCTATAATTTGCATATGAAAATAACTTTTTTCTCTTTTCTTTTATGAAATCCTAAAATTTTTGCGACCTAGTAAGAATTATAGAAACATTAACACTTTCAGAAATATGGAACTTACATATCAAAGGAGCTCCTTTCTTTGAAAAAATAAAATTTCCTCATATATATTTTTCTGCATTTATACACAGAAACAAAAAAACCACACAGCCATTTTCAATTAATCCTACCACAATCAGGATTGTGATTAACTATAGAAGCAAAAAATTAACCTGAAAAAAAATTAACCTGAAGAGTGGTTTGTTGAACTTTTCATGCTAAAGTACAGCCAGAGAGAGATTTTACTAGGCCTAGAAAGGGAATGGGAGGTGGAGTTATGCTTGTTCTTTCTTTGCAGTACAGTCATCACTTCCTTGTTTCAGAAAGAAAGGAGGAGGAGGAAACAGCGGAAGAGGATGATGTGGTAATTGTACCAGGAAAGTAAAAGCGTTTTAGGAAATCCTTAGCTCATTTCTTATCCCTTCTCATTGATCACAACTCTTCTATATGGTAATCCCTAGTTAACGGAATATGAAATAGGTGTTGGGCTTTTAATAACCTGGAAAATCAAGGCATATAGTAGTTTAAATCAAAATTAAAAGTTCTATTAATAAGAAAGTAGAAAAGAATGGCAAATAGGTAGGCAAATCTCTGTGTCTACTCTCCTGTCTACTATCAGAGAGACCCAGAAAATTAGGCAGAAAATGAATTCACGCATAACCAGTGAAAATTTGTGATAGGGATCACATTTACTTAGGGATGTTGATAATATTATTTATTGGGACCTTTATTAAGTACATAGATTGTGACATCACATAACTTTATATATTTTATCTCATTTAATTCACGGCAACTTGACAACAGATTCTTCTCATTCAAATTAATTAAGAAATTCAGATATAGCTGAATATTTACTGAAGAATACAAGAAAATTGCAAAATAGGGTCTGAATTTGCATATCATTATCTCGAAGCTCATATGTTTTCAAGTATATCATCTTGTCTTACAGAAATAAGGAATTCTTTAAGCACAAAACAGGACATTGGAAGGCTTGTCATGTGTAGTAATTTCTCAATTTTTATCTTCTTCAGCCCAGCCTTGGAAACTTGAAATTACTGAAAGCTGCCATTCAAAGTTGAACCCACAAGCAAGTTCTGTGCAAACTTGGGCCACTACCATTACTGTTTTTAGGTGCTGTCAGAGCCACCAGTGGGGGATATCACCTTGTAATCACAGTTGGATGCCGCCGAGGTACATTATAGGCCTCTTTCTACCAACCAGAAAACAGTACATTTCTTCCAATAGTTTTTTATTATACTTTTTTGCTGCATTATAGCTGATTTTTGTTACAGTTTAACAGTCTGAGAACATATTTCATCATCTCAGAGTATTAGAAAAAAGTTATAAAGCCAATACCTTCTGTCCCTTTGTACTAACCATCCCTGGGTGGTCTTTAGGAAAACGAAATGAACAATCAGAATCACAATTCTCTGTCTGGTATCATCCACTGGTCCATATGGACTTCAGCTCCACCCCAAGTCTCTGTATGTCCATATTGCTACCGACACTAACAATAGGCCAGGTCTTCACAGATTTGTCTTGTAGTTGTCTAGTGTGTAACCAATGTTTTCTGGAAATTCAGTAGAAAAGGCTTTATGAGGAGCCATAGTTGTTATCACAAATGCCAAGAAGAGAGCGAGGAAAAATAGAAGACAAAAGAGCAGTGTGCCTGGGGCCTTCCGTGGTTTGGGCGTAGGCATCAGGTGCCTCCCACGCACCGTGCACCTGCACAGATGTAGGTCCCTGAGTCCCCAGGCTGGGCCGTGGTGATGCGCAGGGAGCTGCTCTTTCTTTCTTCACCAAACTGAGCCCTCATGCTCCTCTGTTCCTTCACTTCTCCACCCTTGACCAACGCCATCAAGAAGACAGGGCCTCCCCCGGGCTTCTGTCTGTACCACTGAATAGTGGGGAAAACACTTGAGGAGTTGCAGTGCATGGTGACATCTTTCCCCTCCTTGATGCTTAGAAACTCAGGACTCTGCTGCAGCTCCTCTGCGCTCAGCCCTGTTTAAAAACAAAGGGCAAAGCAACAGGAAAGAGTATTAGGAATTCTTTCTTAAGTTAATATGATTTTTCCTCCCTCTTTTCTCCTTATTTTCTGTTCTCTCTTTCCTTCCCCCTTCTTTAATTCTTCCTCACAAGTTTCATAACACACCTTGCCCTTAGGAGTGGATTTTCTATTGATTTAAGTGCTGATCTCTTGAACTCACAGGCCAGTTGAATCCAAAGGAGCTGCAGGGAGAATTTCAGGAACATCTTTTCTTTCTGTCTCACGGAGGCCAAGGTCACTGTCTTTAATTGTTTCTAAAAGAGGCTTTTCTGGGCTCTAACATTTGGGGCCACCCGCTTCTATCTCGGTCAAGTAGAGGAATCTGAGGATCAGCCAATCAAATCATTTACCCTCTACCCTTCCCTTCCTCCAGCCCCAAGCCTGGCTTTGAAGCTGGGATTTTTGCCTTGGAAATACTGCCCTCCTGTGGAGACACAAAAAAATGATGTATTTTCACTAATGCTTCAGCTTCTAATTTTATCTGCTAAGCCCAGGTATCAAGATTTAAGTAGAAAAAGTCCAGTGACCTTATTCAGGATGGAAAGTATGTTGTTTTGAAAACTGATCATCTTAAAGCCAGAACAATGGAATAACAGAAGGTAATTGAAAAATCATTTTAGCGTTTTTGGTAACCTCAACAAGCATGTTGAATAGTGTATTATAGGTGTGTGTGTGTGTGTGTGTGCATATGAAGTTATACTATACTTTCAGGGTTATGTGGGGGGGAAATGCCTTGTGACAGACCTATTTTTATCAAATTATAGATGAATATTCCTCTTGTACATTGTTTAACTGAGTATACGTTAGTGATATTCTGCATTGCTCTGCCCTTTGGTCTCCAGTTCCTATCAATGAAAGCCTTCGCCCTGCCGCACATGCTGCACTTGTTGAACTCACCCCAAAAAATAATGCTGCTTTCACTGACGTGACTCCCTCAATTACTAAGGAGAAAACTTCAATACGCAGTTTGTAAATGGTGGGTTAACGTGTAGACCTACACATATGTGCATTAGTGCAACGATTCATGGGACTTGATCTGGTCCTGTGGGGTGTAGCACGGATTCAAAACTAAAATCTGTATGCACGAGATCATCACTGGTTGCAAATGGACTGCCAGGTGGCTGCATGAGTTACCTTTTCATCCTGGACTACAGATTTGCTGCATGTGATGGGATAAAAGCTGAAAGAGTAACTACTAACTGGTGTACGCAGGACCAACTCTGTGAAGGCACGTGGTTCCCGCCTGGACATGAAGCACGTTCTATCTGGTCACGTGCATTTGCCAAAGTCGGTAATAGGAGCTGTCAACAAATAATGAGACAATTTATCTCTCTTGGAGGAAGATTTTATTCCATTGATCGCTGCCCTCTCAACAGGAGAATCTGTCCTGCTCACTTTTATCCAAGGCTGAGATCACATTCTAGTTCCAAGGATAAACCTCTTGGTCAATTTATTTGAACCAATTAATAGAGTTACATAATACTAAAATTTTTTAAATGTCTACAGTGTAAAGCACTATGGCTTACTTTTGACATCCCTGGCTTAGTTTCCTTAGTTGACAACCTATATAAATTAATTAGTTTGTCTGTTTTCCTGGTTAATTTCTCAAAATACTATCATTTACTCAGTTTCATATAAATAACTCCTGCTTTATTGAATTATATCCCTCACCGATTGTAATTGATATATAATCAATTTCACAAATAGCCTACCTTTACGTCTCCCAGGGGCTTAATACATTAGTCATACAATTCTTTAGTAGGTTTTTATTATTAAATAATTAATAGATAAATATGGTATTGTATTTTCAAAGATGATAATTTAGAATGATCCTGGTAGGGGTAGAGTTGGCAAAATTGTCCCCATGTATGAGAGGAGGGAGTCTGTCCTAGATAACCAGAGAGTAGGGGTGAATAGTTAAAAGCTGAAAGTCAGTTCCCTCTGGTCCTCTCAGGAAAACAGAGAGGCAGAAAGGGGAACTGGTCAAAAGGACAAATAATAAAATGTGCACATTAACGAAATAGGAGAAACTGAAGCATAAGTAACCATACAAACAGACCAGTTCTGCATTCATTGGTAGTGGGGACTGAGATGTAAGTGTTAATGTGCATGTGTGTGTGGAGAAAGCCCCTACCACAGGGTCCATTTCTGCACGAAATAAGGTAATACAACTAGGAGGTAGGAATAGTGAGGCACAACAAGCTACTGTTATAGTCCAGTGTATAGACTGGGCTAGCCTGGAGTTTTGTATTATATAATGTCAAACCATGAGGGCAACGCGGAGTGTTGCTATGGTGAATACAGAGGAAATGGATGAAAGTCCATGCTCTTTATGAATAATACTTAATAATAACGCTGTGTATTTGCATTTCTGTACCCTCTTTTGAATACTGAGCATACTGGATTGACACTTTGTGTTTCCCAACACGACTGTTGAGAGAAAGTTCGCTGCCTTGACAATGGTTGCCATGACCTCAGCAGCAGAAGTGGGGACGGGAGCAGGTGCCCAAAGAATACAGAGCACGGAACTAGAAGACTGAGACTCAGGCAGAGAGACTGCAATTCTCTGCCTTCCTGTTAGTAAAGGAAGCTCTTCTTCTCTCTTCTCTTTTACTTGAATTTAAATTAGTTGTAGGTAAATTGGCATTCCTCGACATGTGCTCATCCGTGTTAAAACAAAACAAAAAGAATAGAACTTTGATCTCTCTACTCTCTTGGGCACGCAGACATCAAGAACTCTGCTCCTTGTTGACTGGTAAGACAGCATAAGACACAAGTTGGGGATTTCTACAAAATGTATATCCTTTTAACGCTTTTTTCCAGGGAACTCAGGTAGTCTCAAGTGAGCATGCCTGTGTCCCACGTCCTATGGCCTGTTAGGAAAAGACTTCACTGGCCTCAGTGCACCCACCCAAAGTGAGGCCACAGATCTGAGCTGAGGACACGATCCTCTCCACTTGTCCTGGCCAAGCAGCTGTACGTAAGATACTCCAAAGTGCAAAAGGGTTAAGACATTGTGCTTCCAGAAACCGAATTGTGTATGTGATTATAAAGGCAGTCTCAGGTGATCTTCGCTCTTTGTCTTATAATCAGTTATATAAACCAATTAAACTATACTATCATTAAGGCTTGGGGGTAGAAAAACAACTGTAACTCTCTTGGGGGACGTGTAAATGTGAAAATGTTATCTAATGTGCAGTCACCTATTTCTGTTAGATGTGTAACAGAAACACAAGTCTCTAAGTATAACACACAGTACATGACAAATACACATTTGAAGGTAGAAAGAGTCCGTTTTTAAAGTTTATGAAGTCCCAGTAATGTTTTGCAAGTCTAGGAAGCCTTTCTAATGACCAGTCATTCCACTCTCCAAACCTTACTAATTCTTGGAGAGCTGTCAAGATACCATGACTTGATCTTTTCTGCTTGGAACACAGATACTCTTTTCTCCTAGCAGCGCTGCATTCCTATAACTTACCACAAACCCTCTCCCACCTTTAGTAGTTACATAGCTGTAGACACTTTTGACTGAAAGTAGGCTTTCAAAAACAGAAAACTTTGAACTGAGCTTTTTGCTTCATTTGGCTCTTTTGTTTGGTTTGGTTTTTATGTATTAATTTATTTTTACTTTTAATTAATTTTATTGGTACGTTTTAGGTATACAATATAATGACCTTCATCACTGGAAATTTGCACCTTTACATTATCCATCTTGGTTCTCATTTTTCCCTATTCCCCTGCCCTGCCCTCAACCCCTCCACATCTCCCTAACTAAAAAGATTTTATTTCCATTTTTTCATTTTCTCATTTTAATTCCTTTCCTTCTTTATTTTTCCCTACCCCTCCCACTTCCCCTTCACCTTTGCCCCTTTTCTTTCTATTTCACATTGTATATTATGCCTTTTAGTCCTTATTTACACTTTCACTTTCTCACACTAGAGAAACTATTTAGTATTTACACATTTATACATGTGTCCTATTTATTTGACTTAAGAGCATGGCCTCAGTGTGCATCCATTTAGCTATAAATGTCTCTAGTTTCTTGTTCTTTATGGCTGAGTAGCACTCCATTTTGGGAAATTGAATTCAGAGCTTCATACATGCTAGGCAAGTGCTCTCCTACTGAGGTAGATCTAGACCAGAGCTTTCTGTCTTGCCAGACATCATGTTGAAGAACAAGAGCATCACCTGATTGAAAAGACATGAGAAAGAAAAACACATGCAGAAATAAAACATATGTTAATATATCAAATTAATAAATTACATGTACTACATACATGGAGTTCTATTTTATATATATATACATCTATATATTATATATTTTCATTATTTATATTTTTTTCATTAGAGCAAGTTTGAAGCAATTGGGAGGCTGAGGCAGGAGGATTACTGTAAGTTCTAGGCAAGTATGGGCTACATAGTGAGTTCAAGGCTAACCTGAACTTCATAGTGAGATCCTGTCTCACAAAACAAACAAAATAAAAATTTTTTTCAATATTTTTCATTTTTATTTAGTATTTCAATTTGAGTCTTCTCTTACTTTTGATCAACTATTTTAGTGAGCTCATCGAACTTTTTCATGAACCAAATTTTTGAACATTTGGGGTTTTTATTAATAAATGTGATAATAAATGATATGCTTTAACATCATTACCTTTATCAATATTAGTTTGTCGCTAGACCAAAGCATGTTTCTGCTGTGTTTTCTTCTCAATAGGAGAGAGTCAGCAATCTGAAGCTGGGGTTGTGTTTTGTGCACATTTCCTGTCTTCCCAGGTTGCCATCCATTTTTGCCCTGCAGAGACGACACAAGCACAGCCTCATCGGTCACTGTCTGGGCCTCTCAGAGCACAGTCACAAACAGCTGCTTCCTGCTGGTTCACACTGGGCAGGGTTAGCCTGCTGGACTTCCTGTCTGTAGTAGTCGACAAGCGATTCACGTCATTTGTCACAATAATCTTGGATCTTATCGTTTGCTTTTTGGAATTTAAGCAATCTGTCCTGGACTATATTCTGGTGAGCTGCTGATCTGCAACTGTAAGCTCCAGGGTTACCACTGTGACTGAGGGATCTGAGCGCTGATTCCAGGAAAAGAGAGGACCATGGCACCAGCAGAGCTAGGAATGTTTATAATCATGGAGATGGGAGGAATACAACAGAGGAGCAGAGCGGAGTTTAGCGTCCCTCTCTCCTAGAATGTGGGAAACATTCAGACAATGGGTTTTATCTTCAATG